GCTGACTTTTTTGCATTTTTAGTAGAGACGGGGTTTCACCATGTTGACCAGGATGGTCTCGATCTCTTGACCTTGTGATCCACCCGCCTCAGCCTCCCAAAGTGCTGGGATTACAAGCGTGAGCCACCGCGCCCGGCTAATGGCTCTCTTTTTTGAGTGATTACTATCTGCTATGCCTGTATTCAGTGCTTTATGAGGTACTACATTTATTCCTATTTTCTGATGAGGGAAGTGAGGCAAAAAGAGATTAAAAATAAGTTTTCCAAGCTTACACAGCCAGTATTTCAATCTAAGACAGTCTGACTCTAGGTCCTATACTCAGTGGACTATGCTGTATACTCATTCTGGTAGCATTCTTTGCTTGCCTGATGTATACTAACTCTCTGTCTGGTTGAGTGTCTTTATGAGTAGCTGAAGAAGGTTACTGGCTGCCAATTTCCGTCATCTCTTTGTTGATCTACAGGTGAGCATGTTGGGGAAAGGATTTGGTGATGTCGGTGAAGCTAAAGGCGGCAGTACTACGGGCTCCCAGTTCTTGGAGCAATTCAAGACTGCTCAAGCCCTGGCTCAGTTGGCAGCTCAGCATTCTCAGTCTGGAAGCACCACCACCTCCTCCTGGGACATGGGCTCGACGACACAATCCCCATCACTGGTGCAGTATGGTGAGAAGATGGGAAGTGACTTGAATCTTTAAAGCACTGGAGCATTACTGTGAAGAGGCTGACAGGGGGAGGGAGTGTAGAATGTGTCCTGAAGTGAAGAAAAGGGGCAGCTAGTTGGTTACCTTCCCAAAATGATTTCCCCTAATCAGATTAGCTGAATTCAGAAAGTTGGGGAATAATAAAATTTGAGGCTATATATTTCTCATCAGATTCAGAGGCTGGGTGTGGTAGCTTACACTTGTAATCTCAGCACTTTGGGAGGCTCAAGCGGGAGGACAGCCTGAGCCGCATGGCAAGACTCCATCTCAAAAAAGTTGTTTTAAATTAGCTGAGCGTGGTGGCATGCACCTGTGGTCCCAGCTACTACAGAGGCTGAGGCGAAAGGATTGCCTGAGCCCAGGAGGTCAGGGTTGCAGTGAGCTGTGTTCGCACACCGCATGCTAGCCTGAGCTAGAACTAGTGTGTAGCTAGCTTTCCTGGGAAAAAAAAAAAAAAAAAAAAAATTTTTTTTTTTTTTTTTTTTTAAGACAGGGTCTCATTCTGTCATCCAGACTGGTGTATAGTGGCACAATCTTGGCTCACTGCAGCCTCAACTTCCTGGGCTCAAGCAATCCTCCTGCCTGAGCCTCCTGAGTAGCTGGGACCACAGGCTAGTACCACCGTGCCTGGCTAATTTTTAAATTTTTTGTAGAGATGTGTTCACATCATGTTGCCCAGGTCTGTCTCAAACTCTTAGGCACAAACAGTTCTACTGGCCTCGGCCTCCTAAAGTGACAGGATTGCAGGCGTGAGTCACTGCTTTTTTTTCTCATCAACATTATAATGAAATCATGTTGAAGGAAACAGTGCTATTCAAAGATGTGCCATGCATTGTTTTTGCTTAAAGCCAGTTTCCAAGCACCTATAGATGATATTAAGTGAGAACTTGTGGTACTTTAAACTTGGACTATTTGTGCATTCCTGTTTTACATAGGCAGGGTAATGGCGTTGATTTAATTAGGCTTTATTTAAGGATGGATGTAGGCCAGGTGTGGTGGTTCATGCCTGCAATCCCAGCACTTTGAGAAGCTGAGGTGGGTGGATCACTTGAGGTCAGGAGTTTGAGACCAGCCAGGTTAACATGAGAGAACCCTGTCTCTAAAAACACAAAAATTAGGCAGGCATGGTGGTGCGTGTCTATAGTTCCAGCTACTCTGAGGGAGGAGAATCATTTGAACCCGAGAGGTGAAGGTTGCAGTGAGCTGAGATTGTGCCACTGCATTCCAGCCTGGGTGACAGAGCGAGACTCCATCTCAAAAAAAAATGTAGGCCGGGCATGGTGACTCAAGCCTGTAATCCCAGCACTTTGGGAGGCCGAGGCGGGTGGATCACGAGGTCAAGAGATCGAGACCATCCTGGTCAACATGGTGAAACCCCGTCTCTACTAAAAATATAAAAAATTAGCTGGGCATGGTGGTGCCTGCCTGTAATCCCAGCTACTCAGGAGGTTGAGGCAGGAGAATTGCCTGAACCCAGGAGGCGGAGGTTGCGGTGAGCCGAGATCGCGCCATTGCACTCCNAGGAGGTTGAGGCAGGAGAATTGCCTGAACCCAGGAGGCGGAGGTTGCGGTGAGCCGAGATCGCGCCATTGCACTCCAGCCTGGGTAAAAAGAGCGAAACTCCTTCTCAAAAAAAAAAAAAAATGTAATCCTGTGATTGTCACCTCTAGAAGTGAGATTAAGCTCCAAATGAGGACCTGTTTATATGAATTTCTGATTTTTGCAGGCCTTTGTTCATGATGCTAGTGCAGGATAATAGCATTTCCTTCAGATTCATCAGCATCTCTGGCTTCATATACTGGGTTTCCTCTTGTAGATTTGAAGAACCCAAATGATTCAACAGTGCACAGCCCCTTTACAAAGCGCCAGGCTTTTACCCCATCTTCAACCATGATGGAGGTGTTCCTTCAGGAGAAGTCACCTGCAGTGGCTACCTCCACAGCTGCGCCTCCACCTCCGTCTTCTCCCCTGCCAAGCAAATCCACATCAGCTCCACAGATGTCGCCTGGATCTTCAGACAACCAGTCCTCTAGCCCTCAGCCGGCTCAGCAAAAACTGAAACAGCAGAAGAAAAAAGCTTCCTTGACTTCTAAGGTACTTAGACTTTTAGGTAGATATCATCTTATGGCAAGAAGTTTGGGGCTTGAGAATTGAGATTATAAGGGTAAGTCTGGAAATTTAAAGGGAAAGGTTTTTTTTTAGTCCTTAGTAAGGTTGTATTAAGACCATTACTTTCTCTTCTTTTTCACCTTTCTCTGTAGATTCCTGCTCTGGCTGTGGAGATGCCTGGCTCAGCAGATATCTCAGGGCTAAACCTGCAGTTTGGGGCATTGCAGTTTGGGTCAGAGCCTGTCCTTTCTGATTATGAGTCCACCCCCACCACGAGCGCCTCTTCAAGCCAGGCCCCAAGTAGCCTGTATACCAGCACGGCCAGGTAGAGGAAACATTAGGCATAACACCACTCTTAATAACCTTTTACTACTTTTTAAATCTCTGGGTGATTTCTAGAACTCTGGAGAGACCAAGCCTCTTGCATGGGTGAGGGGGGACATAATCAATCATAGCATTTTGTTGAGTGCTTTAAAATATTGTTACTAGGGTTATCTGTAATTAGGTAGAAATATGCCCCTTAGGGGCTGGGTGCGGTGGCCTACACTTGTAATCCCAGCACTTTGGGTGGCTGAGGCAGGAAGATTGCTTGAGGCCAGGAGTTCAAGACCAGCCTGGGCAACATAGTGAGTCCCTATTGCTACCACAGAATTTTTTAAATTAGCCATGCTTGGTGGCACATGCTTATAGTTCAAGCGTCTTAATTCTGGAGGCTGAGGTGGGAGGATCATTTTGAGTCCAGGAGTTCAAGATTACCATGATGATTGTGCCATTGCATTTCAACCTGGGCAACAGAGCAAGACCCTGTCTCTTAAAAAAAAAAATGTCCCTTGGGTACTTCTAGAATGTCCAAGAACAGTTATGAAAGTTGTGTACAATGCCTCTAACAGAATACTTTGGCATCTGCCACAACTAAAAGTGCTGTTGGCACTTCTTCCAGCCCTTTTAGTAGTGAGGTACTTAGGCCTGTGAAGAATGTAACTTTGAATTCCTAAGAAGGCGGCTGTATACCAGCACAGCCAGGTAGAGGAAACATTAGCAATTGCACAAATTAAAAGGAATTTTACCAGTAGAACCACCAATCCCACAGAAATTAAAAAAAAAAAGACTACCGTAAACACTTCTATATACACAAATTTAAAAAACTAGAAGAAATAAATTGCTGGAAACACACAATCAAAAAAGATTGTACCAGAAAGAAATTAAATCCCCGAACAGATTAATAATGAATTTCAAAATTGAATCATTAATAAAAAGCCTACTAACCAGAAAAACTCTAGCACCAGACAGATTCACAGCTAAACTCTACTAAATGTTTAGGCCATCTGGTAGCCATCAAAGAGGGCCATCTTTTTTTTTTTTTTTTTTTTTTTTTTTTTTTTTTTTTTTTTTTTTTTTTTTTTTTTTTTTTTTTTTTTTTGGCTCACTGCAACCTCCGTCTCCTGGGTTCAGGCAATTCTCCTGCCTCAGCCTCCTGAGTAGCTGGGATTACAGGCACGCGCCACCATGCCCAGCTGATATTTTTTTGTATTTTTAGTAGAGACCGGGTTTCACCATGTTGACCAGGATGGTCTCGATCTCTTGACCTCGTGATTCACCTGCCTTGGCCTCCCAAAGTGCTGGGATTACAGGCGTGAGCCACCGCGCCCGGCCCCGCATTTGAATATTCTAAAAAGTTTCTCTCAGGAGAGTTCTAGTAGTAATTTTAAATCTTTTTTGTTTGTTTGTTTTTGCTTTAGGATGTGGAATCAAGTAATTTTAAATCACACGTCATTCTTTTTTTTTTTTTTTTTTTTTTTTTTTTTGGAGATTGAGTCTCACTGCAACCTCCACCTCCTGGGTTCAAGCAAATCTCAAGCCTCAGCCTCCCGGGTAGCTGGGATTATAGGCACCTGCCACCATGCGCAGCATATTTTTGTATTTTTTAGTAGAGATGAGGTTTTACCATGTTGGCCAGGTTGGTCTAGAACTCATGACCTTAAGCAATCCACATGCCTTGCCCTTCGTAAGTGTTGGGATTACAGGCATGAGCCACCGCACGCAGCCCAAATCTTATATGGTTTTTGAGGAAGCCTAGAGCTCCGAATTACCTAAAATGAGTGTGAACAAAAGATGGCTTTTCCTGTGCCACATTATAATGTATAGAGGGGACCAAGAATCGTGTATTCTTTATACTGACATTTTAGCCAGTTTTTCTTTTTTGTTTTTCTTTTTTTTTTAGATGGAGTCTCACTCTTGTTGCCTAGGCTGAAGTGCAATGGTGAGATCTCAGCTCACTGCAATCTCTGCCTCCCAGGTTCAAGTGATTCTCCTATCTCGGCCTCCAAATAGCTGTGATTACAGGCAAATGCCACCATGCCCAGCTAATTTTTGTATTTTTAGTAGAGATGAGATTTCATTACATTGGTCAGGTGGGTCTTGAACTCCTGACCTTAGGTGATCCACCTGCCTTGGCCTCCCAAAGTGCTGGGATGACAGGCCTGAGCCACTGCACCTGGCCGCCACTTTTTCTTTTAACAGCAGAATGTAGGGGGGAACCAAGGGACTTTTCTCTTCCTTGAAGACGTTTTTAAGATTAATTCTTAATTCAGGTTCCTGGCATTATAGAAAGTGGAGATTCCTAGTGTTATCAAGAGAAGATTTTGGTAGATTCTTTTATTAGTTGAAAAATTTCTTGATTGAAATCAAGTTATTTCACTAGCAGAACTCCACCATTTCCTTAGTATCAGTAGATCTGCTCTATTTTGTTTCTCTGAGATTTCTCTTCATTTTTCACAGTGAGTCTTCATCTACAATTTCATCTAACCAGAGTCAGGAGTCTGGTTATCAGAGTGGCCCAATTCAGTCGACAACCTATACCTCCCAAAATAATGCTCAGGGCCCTCTTTATGAACAGAGATCCACACAGACTCGGCGGTACCCCAGCTCCATCTCTTCATCACCCCAAAAGGACCTGACTCAGGCAAAGGTAGTGGTTTCATGAACCCCTGGGAATTGGTTAGGAGAATAGTGGGCAAAAATCCCTTAAATATTAGTGATTTACTTTTTAGCAAATGATGCTAAGAAACTTTGGAAGTAGTGATTGAGAAGTTGAAAAAGGCACTTATCTGTGGTCAGTGAATTAAAAGTTCTTAACAGCAAACTGGGAGACTGATGAGCCAGGAAACCATTCTCTTTATACCAAAAATTTATTGTCTCTAGTAGAATCAGTCTCAAGTGCCTGTCCTGTCTTCAGGGAAGATGTAATTGCCAGATTTCTGGGTGCCTGTCAGTAGACCTCACCTTGTTATGTCCTGGCATGGTGAGGGAGACAGCATATGCTGGAGGCGATGTGGAGTGACTGTCAGGTGCAGCCAGCGGGAATAGGTGGTGTGGCTGAACTTTCATACTTATATCCTTCCCCAGGAATTACTGGATGTGGACTTGAGGCCTTTTCTGTATCTATTTTAGGTTTGGGGTGTCTTCAGCAGTTTGTGGGGTTTCTTTCTGTTGCTTTTGGTCACATAGTGTTAGTATATCTCAGTTTTGTTTAATTTTTGTTGCTATTTTGGTTTTTTGGATAGTCTGCATTATATTAATATTAATCTTTTTTGTTAACTTACAGAGTTTCTTCTAAAGATTTGTTGACCAAAATAAAGCTGAGTCAGTGTTAACTTGTCTCATTCACATGAGTTTGTCTGTTTCTTGCTCTTCTGTTTTTCTTTTTTTTTTTT